CGATCTCCCCAAAACCCCAAAACCCCGCAATTAAAGCATCTATAAAGAAATCAAGAAATAGTATTTGTATAATTTTTATCATATTAAATTGATATAGGTTCAAATCCCTTGAAGATATTTTATTAGTCAATAAAGCGCTGCATACTAGCAAAACTTATTGCCAAAATGCTAGTGTATATTCATCACTAAATGTTAGGTTCAATTATCCTAGATCTACGACTATTATAGTTTCTTTTTACAGGAGATTCTGGAACTTAAAATGTGGGCGAACGCTCTTAATCCTCTCTTTAATTAATACTTTCTTCACTTTCTTCACGTATAATTGTTTACTATTTTTGGTCAAGATTTAAACCAATTGTATCATGAATTTCCTTTGTCTTTTCACCCCTAGTCTACTTGAATACAGTTGAACCTCGCTTCATGTCAGACTAAGGTATTTCAATAGTTTTAGACACCCTCTTTTCACTTAAGGATTGCCTCTTCGGCGGAAGTATTTGCTAATCTTTTTTGTTAGTCATACTCGAAATTCCAGCTTAAAATCTCTATCTAACATCAAGTTCTAGTTTTTCATTTTTTTATTGTCGAACAAATATTCTAGTCTTCCAGGGCGAAGCTTCTTCTTTACTCTTGTCTTCATTTCGTTGCAGTTTTTTGAAGCAACTCCAGCAACTTACTTTTTCTTCTTTAGCTTCTGCTGTCTTATCTTCATTTTAATACTATTATCTCTCAAGATCACCAGGCGTAGGATTTGATTATTAATTTACCTCTCCCTAATTTTTATATTCTAGTGTTATATTGCTTTCTCCCAGATCAGGTGTCACACTATTATTATTTTTCTTTGACATTAGTTCATTTTTTGTGATGTTTCCGTTTTAGTCAGTCTAACTTTGCTCTTACTCTACTATTTTTACTTTTACTAACTCATCGAATCTCTTCTAAAACCTCTCTGTTATCTTATTATAATTCTCCTCAGTATCATCAGGAATATTAATTATTGCCCTTCTAGTCTTCAATCTGCACAATCCTAAGTATCTAAGCATGCAAAGTCTTGTTCTTTTTTTGAACATCAATGTGAAAAATAGCAATAAGAATAAACCAACTAAGCATCCAATTACTATCCCCTTCAAATAATCCTTGAAGTATTCTTTAATTTCTCTAGTCTGCTTAAGTTAAGTGTCTTCAGGAATAGGATTTTCAGTGTTTTCATTAGGATCTGGAGTAGTAATATTTGGCTGGGCTGTTTAATTACCATTTGTTTGATTACTCGTAGTATTAGCAGTATTCTAAGCAATTGAAATTTGAATTCCAAACATTATCAGAACCAGAAGCCAAATCATTATGATTTTTTAGCATCCATTTCTAGTAGTACCTAAACTCATATTTTTATTTAATTAAAATAAGATTAATCACAATATATAACTGTCAACATCATTATTTTATAAAATCGAACTTCTGAATTTAGTATTTTATATTTCTATGAATTCAGTAATGATGGGGTTTTGGGGTTTTGGGGTTTTGGGGCAGGTTC